GAGTTAAGAAAAAAGATCTTGTAAATTTTTTCGTGTTTGTGAGTGACCAGTGTCCTTGGTTTGTTATAGATGGTCCTGAAATCAACCCTAAAAAATGGGACTGAGTGGGACAGTGTTTAAATGAACTATTAAAGGATAAAGGCTCTGAGGCAGTTCCCATTCAGACTTTCAGCTATTGGACATTAGTCCGAGATCTTCTCAAAGACTCTCCTGAAAACAAAAGTAAAATTATTTCCCTAGCTGAGGATTTCATTACCCGTTCTTCCCATAACCACCTCCCATACAGATATCCTTCTAAAAGCTAAAAATGACCTAAGTAAACAAGTTATAGCTTTAAGAGATGTTCTTTCTTTGCAAAAAGAGTTTGCAGAGCTCAACTCAGAGCTCTCTTCCCTACAAAAGGCTGTTACTAGAACTGTTTTTGTGGCTCCTTTGCCACAAGCTGCAGGAAAGACTAAGTTCAAGTCTGCCAAAACTAGGGCCCTTGCCTTCCCTGTAATCACTAGGCAGGCGGCCAGAGAAGGCCTCTCCTCTGTAGAAGAGTCAGGTAGTGACAGAGAAGAGCCTAGAGACTCTGATAATGAGGAGGGGGGAGAGGCACAAGAAGAGAGTGAGGCTGCTTCGGAGCAGGTTCCTGCTCCCACCCCTTCAGGGTGTAGTAGGCGCTCTACTATACCAACAGACGTTGAGTATAAGCACCTCAAGTTTAAACCTCTTAAAGAATTAAATAATGCAGTTAAGAACTATGGCCCCAATGCCCCATTTACTGTATCCATGCTTCTGACCCTGTCTGGTGGTGGGTACTTTACACCAGGAGAATGGCTTCGGGTGGCTCAGGCGGTCCTCTCTCATGGACAATTCTTATCCTGGAAAGCTGACTACCTTGATCGCTGTTAGACTATAGCCAGCAGAAACCAACGGGACCCTCAGGCCCCCGAAGCCACCTGGACTTTTGATAAGCTTGCTGGACAAGGAAAATATATCACCGAGGGCCGACAGCTTAAATTACCCACAGGGGTTTTAGCGCAGAGCAAGGAGGCTGCACTGGGGGCGTGATGAAACATCCCAGCAAAAGGCAGCCTCATGACACCCCTAACTAAAATACTTCAAGGCACTCAAGAACCCTTTAGTGAGTTTGTGGGCAGGTTACAAGAGGTAGCTGAAAGAGTTTTGGGTCCTGAAGATGACAATGACAAGTTCATTAAACAACTTGCTTGTGAAAATGCTAATTCTGCTTGCAAATCTGTCCTTAAGGAACAAGCCAAAAATAAGTCCTTGAATAAATTAATCAGACTTTGTGCTGACGTAGACTCCTTTTCTCATAAGATTACTCAAGGCATAAATTTGGCAATTGGTGCTGCTCTTCAGACAACTAGAGGGCCCACCCTCCCTAAAAAATGTTTTAAGTGCGGAAAACCTTGTCATTTTTCAAAAAAAAATTGTACTGAGACTCAGAAAGTAGGAGGGACCCCTACTCCCCCTGA